CCTGCATGCAGCATCTGTAGGGTCCTGCAACAGATCCCGAATGATCTGCAACTTTGCTTCAAACACCTGCATTCGCCAGTACAGCTGCCTTTCTTTACCAACCATCAGTGCTCCTCTCACTGCAGACTCCATCGCACTTTGCAGCCTCCTCTGCAGCCACAAGGCTGACTGTACACAGTCATACTGCACGACTGCCTGCACTATGTCCCTGAACCGGCCGGCGATGTGGCGAACCCGGTCTCTCATATTCCTCCACGTACTCGTGTTCGGACGGTGACAAAGCGGTCGTGTTGACCAGCTCCCCCAGGTCTGCGTCAAAATTAAGCGGCTTAGGGTTTAGGGTTTAGGGTTTAGGGTTTAGGGATGTTTAGGGTTTAGGGGTTTAGGGGGTTTAGGGTTTAGAAATGAGTCACTCCCGTCCCAACCTCGTGCAAGGAGAACCTCCACTTGCCAACCGCCTTCTTGGAAAAAGTTAAAGGAAACTACAGGTGGGGAACTTAGGGTATATAGGGCTTCTATAAGGCTTCTATAATAAGGTATATAGACCTTCTATAAGGCTCCTATAATGGTAACTACCCACCTGAAAATGTCCTAGACATAGAGGCGGCCCCGGTCTGAATGACCAGAACGTCATCAATGACTGCAAGGGAGGAAGGAGCCATGGCTCCTACAAAGTAAACCCTAAACCCAGAAACCCTAAAACCAGAAACCCTCAAACCCCCAAACCATCAACTCTGAAACTAGAGACCCTAAATTAGTATTGTCAACTATTTTGGCTCCTATATTACCTGCACCGGGCGGATACGCTGCCCGGTACAGACCAGTATAGGGTTTAGAGGTTTAGTCAGGGGTTTAGGGTTTATGTTCCCAGCAATCTAAGGGACAATAGGAGGGACCCCTAATCCAAATACTCTGTATAAGCCTTATATATCCCTTATATGGCCTCATAAAGCCCCTATATAACATCAAGGGTCCCTGTAAGAGTCCCCCCTAAACCCTAAACCCTAAACCCTAAACCCTAATCCCTCCTTTAGTCCCTTGACAAATCACGCCCTAAACCCGAAACTCTGAACACTAACGCAAACCCCTGAAGCCCCAGATAATGTGCATTAAAAAAGCCTAAAAAATTAAAGGAAACTACAGGTGGGGAGTTTAGGGTTTTAGGGCTTAGGATTTTAGGGTTTAGGGTTTTAGGGTTTAGGGTTTAGGGTTGTGGGTTTAGGGGGAGTTTCGGGAATATAGGGCTTCCATAAGGTATTTAAAGCTTCTATAAGGCTCCTATAACGGTAACTACCCACCTGAAAATGTCCTAAACCTAAAGCCCCACAAGCTCCCAAGCCCTGAAACACAGACACACACACACACTATTGGGGGTTTAGGGTTTAGGGTTTAGGACCACCAATAAAAGCACAACGAAATATCTAAACCTCCTGCGATGCCCTAGCACCACTCAGCGCTGCTTCTTACGTCCCAAACGGAGAAGCAGAAAACCAAGGACATAAACGGTCAAACGGTCAGAATGGCCCGACATGCTTCAATGATGGGCATCTGGAGAACCAAGCTTACCTAAATCCTGTAAAACCGTGCATGATCCCCGAGAAGGGCCCCGTGTAGCCCCAATGAAAGGGTTTAGGGTTCAGGGTTTAGGGTTTAGGAACCTAAAATCTGTTCGTCAAAAGACCCTTCACTCAGGGGCTGAGTACTTGGAGGGTCGGGGGACTTAGTAAATGGTTCTTTTATAGACTTATAAGTACTATAACCCCAATGAGGGTCCCTTTTCGGGTACTTAGAAGTCTACTTATTACCTACTTACTAAGTCTCCCGCCCCTCCAAGTACCTTAGCCCCCAAAAAGGTTAACCTTTTGAGTTTTAGTCGGATTACAAGAGCCCCAGAAGGTAAAAGGTTACCTACTCAGCCCCTAAGTTCAACAAACCCCTCAACACTACGAAACCCTAAACCCTGAACCCTAAACCCTAAACCCTAAATCGCGGACAGTCCAACCCTGATATAGCCCTCAAAGCCCTGAACCCCAAACCCTAAAAGCCCTAAGCCCGAAACACCTAAAACCCTAAACCCTAAAACCCTAAACCCTAAACCCTTAAACCCAAAACCCAAAACCCTAAACCCTAAAACCCAAAGCCCTAAACCCTAAAACCCTAAACCCCGACAAACCCTACAAGCCAAACCCTACATCTCAGAGCAAAGAGGCAGAAAGCCACTGTACAAGGCTTCTCCGCATCGAAGTCGTTGGAACCTCGGCTGCGCCAGGAGAGGCCCCAAAGATCATCGGAGCCCTTTCGGCTTAGGGTCTAAGGGTTCAGGGCTCACGCGTGTGCATGGGGGTTAGGGTTTAGGGGTTTCCTAAAC